TCTCCCCTAAAGGTTGTTGGTGTTGCGCATGGGCTTGTTGACGGGGTGCCGGTGGTGGCGGAGCCCTGTCCTGGTTGTCATGGGCTATAAATCGTCGTAACTGTCCCCTCTGGATCAAGAACTCGATCTCCTTCTTTAGCTGGATGTAATCGTCAGTATGATGACCATGATCCCCATAATACTCGCAATATTTCGTAGGGTCTCTTTTAGATGGATCTGTCTTCATTCGTGAAGGTCACCTTAGGAATTTCTCGTTTTGCACCTCGTATAGGATTTGGGATATTGTCGTAATGAGAGGGGTATATTGCTGAGGTGCATACCTCGACTGTAGTTCAGGCTGCGGGGGGCCTAAGCGGTCCCTAACGTTCCCCCTTCTTTTTGGGGATCACTATTTGTCTCTTTTGAGAGATCTATCTCTCTTTGGAAATCTGTTTCTTTCCCTCTCTCTCCTGGGACTTTGGTTCCTCTTTTTCTCTTCCTTTCCCTTGTCTCTATGTGCGGAAGAGCTCCCTACCTTAGAAAGAAGAGCTTCTTCGCCGTTTATGTATTTCTCCGCTTTGGCAAGCACCTCGACCATGCCTGTTTGGAGATTGTTTGATATGGAGAACATCAAATCTTTAGACTGCACCCCTAGACCAGCTATGAAGGCAGTGATGGTGAACTTTTTGTTTGGGACATCCACCTTTAACGACTCTAAATTAAATCTTTGGACAAACGACATGAGGTTTTCTTATGGTCCCTGTTTCACATTCAAAAGGTGATAGCTCGGCTTTCTATAGGTTCGAGCCCCTATGAAGTGAGATACAAAGGAAATGGAAAACTCTTTGAAGGAAGAGATTGAGGCTGGGGGGGAGCCTGTTAAACCACGCCAAGGCTGAACCCTTTAAAGTGATAGCAAAGGCTTGACAGCGTACGGGATCCTGATACCCGTGTAATTCTATCTGGTTCTTATAAGTATTGAGGTGGTCTATGGGGTCTCTGGTTCCATCAAATGACTCTATCTGAGGCATCCTGAACTTTAGTGGGAGGGGAAAATGCAACACTCCAGGCATGAATGGAGATTCAGTCTACTGCACCAAGGCGTCCATTGTAATTGGAGCTTTACTCCTGACCGTTTCTTTCATGTGGCTGAGCTCCTGCTGGATGCCCTTGAAGTGCTGCTCCCAATATTGCTCCCTTCTCTCTTGCTGATAAGGGAAGACATCATTCTTTTCACCTTCAAGGTTTTGACTTTGTACTTCTTCATTGTGGCCGTTCCTAGGGGTAGTTGGGGAACCTGCCCCAAGGTCTGACTGTTCTCCCCCCTCTTCGTTGTCTTCTCTGAGTGGATCAAGGTGTTGTTGGTCCCTGTAGTGGGGAATGTTCTAATCTTTTTGGGTCGGACGTGCCTCATGTGGGCACTGCAAAAACTTCAAGAGCTCCTCGTTTTGCTTTATCAAGCACTGATTGACGAGGCGAAGGGCCTCTATCTCGTTATTTATGGGGGGATTCCCCATGAGAGGATCAGTCTTTAGGACGTTCTCGAGCTGTCTGCCATTGGTGGCTCCCTACTGGTCCTGCATTCGAGATGGGTTTGTTTGGCTTCTGCTCATGTTTGACACCATTAGTCACTGAAAGATCAGCTTATTTGTAACAGGAACAGTCATTTCCACAAACGGCGCCAAACTGATGGCGTAAATCAACGTGGATGAGCAAAAGGTGTAAATAACGTGAGATGAGCATGGATCAGAGCTTCAAGGCTCGTGTATGATGCTGCAATCAAATATTGAGGGAATTAAAGGGGTGTACACAGTAAAAATATAGTGGTTCACCGGCTCAGGAGCTCAGCTAGTCCACTCTTCAATGGAGGTTCTTGCTTCTCTTTTTCTCTATTGATTAGTTGAATGTAATACAAGACAAACTGATTAGGGTTTTTCTCTTTTTCTCTCCCTCTCTCACTTTATCTCCGCCTCATGATGAGGCGCTACATAGTATTTATAAGGCTGCCCCCTATTTTGTGGGATTTCGGTCGAGATCTTTGTCCATTATTCATGGGATCCTCCTTGATTTTAGGAGATAATCTTGGTTGGTTGAGAGTTTCATGCATGAGGCCCAATTCGCGCAGTCATTCAGCTGTTTCCTGGTCGGTTCAGCTACGATCTCCTCAAGGGGAACTCCACCCCTGGTTCTCTGAGTTCCTCGTGTCTTTCCTGAACTCCTGACTCGACCTCCTGACCTGAACTCACAGCTAGGGCTTGTTTGAGGCATCATCAATAACATTAAAAATTTTCTATGTAGCTGAATTTTCTTGCCATCGTACTGAGATTTGGTAATTAGCAATTATAATCACTTGTTCTTAACTTCAACCAATCTCGAGCAATATGATCAATATAATAATAAGAAAATAGATAAATGAAATGAATAAATTGAAACATAACACAAAACACCAACATGGTGTGGCTCACAAAATGTTATCCCCTCCTATAGGACGTGATCCAATTTTCTTTTTTTCTTTATTATTTAAGAGAAGTTGAGAATAAAATTGCAAGTATGAATTGTCTTAGTTTAAGCTGCAAACGGCTTTGGTTTGCGATTTAAACTCGTGTGGTTCATACTTGTACTGTTATTCTCATATCCTCTTAATCAATAAAGAATCAGGGATTGGATCATATCCTGTGGATGTAAACAAAATTTGTAGGGTGGTCTAATGGGGTATCAACCTTACTCCTCACCTTGAAGTTGGGAGTTTGAGTCTTGGAGTTTCCATTGGGGTTTGGTGGTTGGTCACTATGCTAGCTAGTTAAGTCTGGTCCCAAGAGGTGTTCTAGCTGCGATCAGGGGCCTTATGATTCCATTAGTGAGAGCCTATCGGGGTGGTCGCTGGGCTTTCTTCCTTACCCTACCCCTGTTTTTATGAGCAAAAAAAAAAAACAAAATTTTGTTTTCATTTATGAAGGTGAGGTGGGCGATTAGAAGGTGTTCTTAGAGGCGGTGGAGCCATGGAGGGCCAGTCGGAAGGGATCTAGCAGTAGGATTTGCCATAACACTTAGATATAGGTTTGTCAATAGATTAGATTTCGACTGGAACTAGGTCCATTCAAATTCGAATCCAATTAAAAAATTTATTACCAAATTCAATTCTTTTACCCGATGGATATAAAAAATATTCACATTCGAATCCACTTATAATTAGACATTCGGTTCAATTATCCAATCTGATTCGTAATAATATTCCACCAAAATTTCAATAATAATCGATATACAAATACATGTGTGTGTGTGTGTGTAATATATATAACTGTGAAATAAGAGAGTAGAAAGCGAATATAAATTGTATAATGCTTTGGTGTACCTCACCATATACATGAGAAGGTTAATTTATAATACAAGAGAATAGTAAGATTTCCTAATCTAACTGATGAGACAAACATATAAACATATAAATTTTAACAGTAATAAATACCAACATATATCTATATATATAAGTTAACTGAATCGGATTTATATATATCTAATTTAAGATATCTAAATAGATTCGGATCGAATTCGAATAAATGGATGAAAATATTATTCCATATTTGATTAAAACAGATTCAAATTCGGTCTAAAATTTGATCCATTGACTGCCGCCTTACTTGGATAGTCATTGAGACCAATGTCGTTTGTTTTGTTGTCGCTGGCCAATGGGATGTGGATAAGGCTAAAAACCTACCTAAAAGATGGTTCAACCCAACCATGTCCGGATGTTCGACTGGACTATTGCATTGGTCGAGGTGGTATGGAGAACCATATCATCTTAATTTAAATTTTATCAATTTCGAGTAATTTGCTTAAATTAGTGGGTTTCATTAGTGCTATCAATGAATTGTGTGATATTAAATTTGTATCATGTTACTCTTCCAAAAAATTTATATTGTGTTAAAATTTATTCCATTGATATTCGTATATAATTAAGTCGTATCGAGCCAAATTCATATAGCTCATAAGTCGTGGTTGGCATATTCATGTTATGTTTAACCAATTTTGTATCCATCCATTTATTTATTGAATCTAATAGATTCATATTGTGTTTAATCGGGTTCACAAGGTGTGCAGAAATTTCAAAAAGTAATTCAAGTAGGGATAAGGATAAACTGTAAACTTAAATGTCTTTATTTCAAATTTTGGTAATTCTTTTGGGGCCAAGTTATGAATATTTTATCCCTTATCAATATTTTAATTTTGGTACGGATGATTTATTTTTAATTAGATTGTGAAAGATATTAATCGAAGTACGCATAAATTAAATCAGATTACTTTGACCCTTAAAAAAAAAAGAAGAATGTTCATAGGCCTAGCTTTTTCTACTGGTCGATGTTAAATAGATTCCACCCGACTAGTGGTCCAAAACGAAATAATATAGGATAAACTATACTTTTAGTCTCAAAAATATGTGTATAGTATTTATTTAACCTTCAATTTTTTAATTGTGTCTATTTGATTCTTAAAGTTCCTATTTTGTATCTGTGTGGTTCAATCCCAAAAGATCGTCAAAAAATTGTTGACATTTTTTATCACGCATCAATCATATGGGACCAAAAAGACACAAATTAAAAATTTTATGAACTAAATAGACATAAAATTAAGAATCATGTGATTGACGCATGACTAAAACTGTTATAATTTTTTGACGAATGTATAATATTTAGACTTTTTAAATACAAACTAAGAACCTTAGGGACCAAATAGATATAATTAGAAAATTAAAGACCAAATAAACAATAAACTCATACTTTAGGGATTAAAAATATATTTATTTATTCAATAATATATACATCAACCCATTTTAATATAATAAGTTGATCAAAAAAAATATAATAAAAAAATTAAACAAATAAATCTGAAATAGTTTTAATCAGAATTAATCATAATCATAATCATAATTTTTGTAAAGTTCGAATTCAAGCTCTTAACTTCATCATAGAACGGTGAAGTCTTTATAACAGCCAGTCAACCACCGATTGTGTTCGTAGAGAAGAAAAATGGAAGGCGAAGAAAACAACTGGAGCGAAACGGTGGAAGACCTGGTACATGAAGGAGACATCGACAAGGCCATCTCTCTTCTTGAATCTCTGGTTTCGAAGCTCGAAACAGCAACGAATTCATCACAACTGCTATTGTCCTCTGCTCTCTTTGACTTGGCCAAACTTTACTCCTCTCAAGGCTTCTCTCTCAAGGCTGACGACACTCACTCTCGTGCTCTCCTCATCAAACAGCGGTCTCATCACACTCCCTCTCCAAATGGGTCTGACCCACTTCCTTTTTTTATTAACTCTTTTGGGAATTTTCTCTGTTTGATTTCCGACAAATTGAAGGGGAGTTCAGGAACTCTTTAATTTATGTTGTTTAGGTTCTTTTCCTGTGTGCATTTGCATGAACAATTAGTGGTTCTTCTTGTTCCGAAAAGAAGACTGAGCAAAAAGGAAAGTAAAATTATGAATTTTTATACTGTTTGTTGGCTTGGGTTTTGTGTTCTTGGATATCATTTAAATAAATCTGGCATCTTTCATCTCTTGCTATATTTGTTCATATTCTATTGCCTGTCAAGTGGGTTTGTGCTGTTAATGTATTAGTTTTTTTACTTTTTGGGTTCTGAAGTTGATTTTGGTTTCAGTGAATTGAAGGCTGCGAAAAGGGATACGCAGGAAAATTGGATTTCGCGGAATGAGTGTTCACCTAGTAATGGATCTTCTGAGGAGGGTTGGTTTTTATTTTCTTGTCCCTTGCAATGTAAAACTTAGAAAAAGTATAATCGTTATATTTCTTACTATTTGGGTTTGGCTTTATCAATGCTTTTCTTGTAATTTATTATGTCTGAAAATTAATGAATTGTGGCCTCTTTGTGAAGGGGATCATGGGAAATCTTCAAATTTGGATGATGGTGCTTTGCATCAGGATGGCTGTTTGGATGATGGTACATTTCTCTGTCTTCAATATATCTTCTTTTTGCTGCCCAAGCCATTGTAGCACTGGCGATTAAGTATTGGCATTATTTATTTTATTTTTTTGGAGGGGGTGGGGTGTTTAAACTCGTTGCTGTCAATCATAAAAAATAGCTCCTTTTAGTGTGTTTTTCAGTCGAGTGTTGTTTTAAATATTCGTAGGAATTGTGAAACCCCAACAGAACTTGAAAAGCCGTATAATAAGTGATTGGTGTTGGCTTAGTTTCCAAATTATTGGTTAATTCTTATGTTGATTGTGAACAGAAACAGAAAAGGAAGAAGAAGATTTAGGGGAAAAAGAGTTTCTTATTCAGTGCTCTCTCTCTTAAGACTAATTACAGAAGGTCATTAGTAAACTTAGACTAACTAACTAACTCACAAAACACGTGAGTAGATTACAGCTGTCAATAACAAACTCTAACTGAATTTGGTGAGGTAAGCAACTGATTGTGTGCAATGACTCCCACTGAGCTCATCTGTGTGGATATCTGGTATTGCTTGTGGTGAGATGATTAGCTACCCCTGAGCTGCATAGCTGAGGCACTGAAGTGCTCTACTTGTTTACTGAAGCTGTAAGTGGTTGAGCTGCTAGGAGACTGAGATGATGCTGAGTTATTAGATTGCACATGACAAGACCAACTTGAGAGAGAGCAAGTTGATGGAAAATTCAATAGTGTCACACCTGTGAGTGGGATTGGACTGAGAGTTTCTAGGAATGCTATATTATTTTCTCTTACCTAAAAGTGAAAAAGAATGCTTAACCATTTTGCTAGCACCAATCCTTTGGTGGTAGCAGACTAACTGGTGTTGTGTGACTTGCGTTAGTAAATAAGGATCAAATTGTTGCGAATAATACTAGTTAAACATTTATCAATTGGAAGATCAGTAAATATGGTAATAGGTCTTACATGGTAAAGTGTAATAGGCTAGGTTCCACATTGGTTGATGAGGTGGAGTAAATAGTGTGTTGCTGGACATTAAATGAGATTTGGATTGGCTGAATTATGCTTGGCTCAACATATTATGTTAGTCGATGCTTTATTTTTTGCGGGCAATGGCTGGCTTAAGGTAGCATATTGTCTCCATCTTTCTACATTCTGCCTTAATTTGTACCATCTACTATCTAGTCTCCCGATATTTTTCATGCTTACTTTCTGTTTGAGTTTTGGCAGCAAATAGGCTGGCAAAATTTTAGGGGGATTTGGAAAGGAAACATGTGGGGAAGGAGACGAGGAATTGAAATATTACTTGGGTTGATTGGAATGTGGTTAGTCTACAGGGAGGAAGTGCTATTGGGCTGCAAGGAAGTTAGCACTGTTTAGCCAATTGGGTAGAGGTTGTGTGGAAACAAAAAACATGTGTTTGGTAGTGGTGGTGTGTGGGAAGTGTGGTGTGGCTAGGATGAAGTGGGCTTCAAAGGAGGTGAGGGGATCTTTGCTGTTGTGCTTATAGAATGGCATAAGGAAACTGTGTGGTGATTTCTCCAAGCTTGCATTTGGGAATGGTCACTAGGTGAACTTCTGGCATGAGATTTGGTGCAAAAAGTATGCCTTGAAAGTTCTCCCTGTCCTCGGTAGAAGAGTTCTTGATGGTGGCCTCTGTTCAGTTTTGTGACAGTATCTAAGGATCATGTCTCGGGAAACCAGTATACTACTACACCAGCATATGGTTGGGAAACAAAGGCTATCAATTTATAATTTTAACGGTTGTGTTACCTTTTCTATTGCAGGGTATGGTGATGTTGAGTACCAATGGAAGACTTGAGAAACGATAATTAATGTGAGGCTGTTCTTTCACGAATGAAAATCATTGATATGCATAGTATTGTAGGATAAATATTAGACGCTTGATTAGCCTTAGCCAATCCTGGCAGTGGAAAATTTACCCCTAAAGCAGTTCTATATGCTGGAAGGAAGAAACATGTTTATATGGCTTCAAGTATGATACTAGTTCATGTCTCCTTAGTTCGATATTCTCTTTCAAAGAATGATGCATTATGTTGTTCTAGACCTGTCCCTTTGGATCTCTTACTATCATCCTGATTTTGATATGTGCATCTTGCTGGCAATTTAAATGTTCACAACCTAGCCAAAAAATATGAAATAGAGAAATCAAAAGAACAAATTGTATGTCTGTTATACAACAACAGGCCTAATCCTGCACCCCTGTTTCCAAACTTTGGATTCAATATTTTAATTCTAATGCCAGTTTATTTTACCACAAAATTATGTTAATGGCGATTTTAATGTTGTGGAAGACTGGGAAGCTGTTGCTGATCATGCTCCAGATGAATTACTTCCCCAACAATGCTTACCAGGAGTATCAAAACTCTCACTGGAAGATACAAAAGTTCAAACCCCTAAGCGGCGTGGAAGGGGAACGTTCGCATATAGGAAACATGGCTTGTATAGTGATCAACAATCTGATCGGCCTGTAACTGATGACTCTGAAGACGAAGCCGCATGCCCCACATCAGAAGGAGATGAAGAAAGAAAAAATTGTATGCCATTTATGTGTATTACATTGCTTGAATTCAAGCATTTGTAAATGATATCTTGTCATGCACTTGGATTGATAATTCCTTTTTGTGTTCATATATCCTCAACCTGACCTGTTTTCTGTTTATGGTACTTTGCCTTTCACAGGAAATGCTTCAAATTTAACATAATCTTCCTAGTACACTGGGTGCCTTTTTTTTTGGGGGGGGACACTTAATACTTCAGTTTGAAATTGCTAGAATGGCAGTAGCAAATTTCAGATTCAGATGGGAACTGTTATACTATTGCCTTAAGATGGAAATTTTAGTAACAATATGCTGAACAACCTTCTTAACAAACCAATCAGCAATTTCTACTTTATAATCGCTGACAACACGAATGCATTTATTATACATGGCCAACAATGATATGTTTGATGCCATATTAGAAGTACATGAATTGGTTTTTGCTATTGCCTCTGTCATACCTTATTTTGAGTTGGTATAAAAGCTTGATTTAAATATGCTAGTGAGTCTGGTAACGCTGACCGTTAAGCAATCTGCATGAGGTATTCAGAAATCTATTTTCTTACAGTGTAAGAATGACCATCAAGGAATATCATGGCACTAAAATAAACTCACTGTGCCTTTTGAGTGATTTTTTCCTTTGATAGGAAACAAAACTTTCATTTCATACAAAGATGCCATTGTTGACTAAGTGATTCGGGGTATAAGATATTCAATTAGCTGATATTGCATATGGTTCTAATCTTTGGACTGGCATACCGTCATTGGACTGCTTGGATCAGTTAGATAAGCTTTAAAGAGCAATTCAATTTCCTCTTGTTTCTCCATTTAGACATTTGTCTTTATCATTGTAATTGCTTAGCTCTTGCAAATTATAGTAGCGCACTAATAGAAATATAACTCGTGTACTTCTTGATATGTTGGTAAATCTGATTTAACTGCCCTGCTCCCCAACCATTTTTCCATTGGTGGTTGTATGTTACTGGAAAAGGATAACTAAGAATAAAGGACTAAACACATAGGAAAAAAACAGAAAGCATAAGGTTATACTCTCTTCCTTCATTGCTTCAGAATGCCGCTGCCTCTGATCACCAAGTTAATGTACTGAGGTTAGATGCAAATGGCAATGCAACATATATCTGCAACTTATTTTTCAGTTTTTCAACATCGATGTCGCAAGTTTTTGCATGCATTATAGCATACAGGATCTGAAACATTGTTTTCTTCTTGATTTCAGTAAATTATGGTACAAGTCACGTTCTCGTTTTGGCCGACTTCCCATCAAATACTAGGACAACTGACTTACAGAAGCTGTTGGAGAGCTTCAAAGATCGTGGAGTTGTGATTCGCTGGGTCAATGAAAAAGCTGCACTTGCAGTGTTCAGAACACCATCAATTGGTAATTTTATTCCTACTATCTTATTTTTTGCGTTTATGGTGTTAGGCTGATTAAAATATTACTTGCCATTTTTTTTAACTTGTAAGTGCAACCTGTTATATGCTATTGTTGTTTTCCATTGAAGGCCTTACTAGTAAGTATTAGCTTGTTTCACATTGGGTGCATACTATGGTATGGATATGCCCATCCATTGCGTCCATTTGACCAATATGTTGCCTGGTTGAAGGGTTTGCAATGTAGTAAAAGTGCGCCAAGGCTTTGTAGTGGTTCATGCTAGGGTTGTGTAGGATATAGTTCTTGGTTGATACCAATGGTTTTCCTAGTGTTTTAACTTAATACATGGGGTTAATTTGTGCTGACTTGTGGTCTAAATTGTTATTCCATAAAAAAACACCAGGCAGTGTGACAATTGTATGGATGCTATGAGAGAGAATTAGGGTAAGATGAAGAGGAAGAGGAAGAAGAAGAAGAGAGAAACAACAAGGCAATCTCACGTTCAATTGAGATGGACACAATCATAAACCCAAGCAAGACCTCGAAGGTTCACTTCTTTGCTGGTGATTCATTAATAGAAAAAGATCATGAAAATGTAAGGCCTTGCTACAGTAGAATGAGCAGTATTCGTGCTGCTCGATGAGCTGTGATATTTTAACTTTTAATCTTTTCCCTTAAATAGTAAGATGAAATGATATTTAATCAAACAGACTGAATAATCACAGCAAAGAAGGCTACTGTAAGGCTTTCTGAGGCATCTAAGTTGATACTTACTAGTAACTCGTGCTGATGTTTTCTTGGCTATGCCATACGATGTTATATGAAAACGTAGGTTTTGGAATCATGCCATCTGGACTTTCATTTGTACACTTTTTATGTAGAGCTGATGTCAGCCATCAAGTGCAATTTTCTGTTTGTCAGATAATGACCGTGATATGCTACTTATTAGGGTTCGTGTTCATGTTATGTTAATGTGGAAATGTTGATTGTAAATAGATATGCTTACGGATGTGTTTGTTATTTATTTATTTGTTGAAATTAGGTTTAACAATTCTACACACTAGTTGTAAACCCAACACGAAACCTATATCGAATTAGCATATTTGGGTTTGGGTGATAAACAGGTAGACCTGTAAAATAAATGGGTTGGCATAAATCCAATTAAAGACGATGCAAACCCACTCAATATGGCACGAACCAGTCAATACACAATTACAGAAGGGCTATAGATATGGGCCGATAAAATTTTGACACGACACAATTTGGATGTGTCNAGAGAAACAACAAGGCAATCTCACGTTCAATTGAGATGGACACAATCATAAACCCAAGCAAGACCTCGAAGGTTCACTTCTTTGCTGGTGATTCATTAATAGAAAAAGATCATGAAAATGTAAGGCCTTGCTACAGTAGAATGAGCAGTATTCGTGCTGCTCGATGAGCTGTGATATTTTAACTTTTAATCTTTTCCCTTAAATAGTAAGATGAAATGATATTTAATCAAACAGACTGAATAATCACAGCAAAGAAGGCTACTGTAAGGCTTTCTGAGGCATCTAAGTTGATACTTACTAGTAACTCGTGCTGATGTTTTCTTGGCTAAGCCATACGATGTTATATGAAAACGTAGGTTTTGGAATCATGCCATCTGGACTTTCATTTGTACACTTTTTATGTAGAGCTGATGTCAGCCATCAAGTGCAATTTTCTGTTTGTCAGATAATGACCGTGATATGCTACTTATTAGGGTTCGTGTTCATGTTATGTTAATGTGGAAATGTTGATTGTAAATAGATATGCTTACGGATGTGTTTGTTATTTATTTATTTGTTGAAATTAGGTTTAACAATTCTACACACCAGTTGTAAACCCAACACGAAACCTATATTGAATTAGCATATTTGGGTTCGGGTGATAAACAGGTAGACCTGTAAAATAAATGGGTTGGCTTAAATCCAATTAAAGACGATGCAAACCCACTAAATATGGCACGAACCAGTCAATACACAATTACAGAAGGGCTATAGATATGGGCCGATAAAATTTTGACACGACACAATTTGGATGTGTCACAAGTCCGATACGACATGACCCATTGCCAACCCTAGTTATAGTTATGGCAATTGAAGCTAAGAACTACAATTAAGAGTCTTTGTACGACCATTTAAGTAGGAAATAACCTGGTAGTATCCATTATATGTCTAGTAGGCTCCACTAGTGGCTTGGATTGGTCTTGCTTGCTATACTGATGGGGATCTAGGAAGCACGAATAAGGATGTGATACGAGTATAATACGATACAAATGGGACATGTTGGTGGAAACGCTTTGTGTTTCTTTCAAATTTTTCAAAACTTGTTGAGTACCTTTATAAATAAGAAAGCTATTTTTGTAATTTTAAAGATATATGGTTCAAAGTTATAACATAAAAAGAGTTATAATCTTTACATAAACATAGGACACCGGTTTAACCATAATTTCAGACACGATTACAAAATTATATACAAATGGNCGGCCATCAAGTGCAATTTTCTGTTTGTCAGATAATGACCGTGATATGCTACTTATTGGGGTTCGTGTTCATGTTATGTTAATGTGGAAATGTTGATTGTAAATAGATATGCTTACGGATGTGTTTGTTATTTATTTATTTGTTGAAATTAGGTTTAACAATTCTACACACCAGTTGTAAACCCAACACGAAACCTATATTGAATTAGCATATTTGGGTTCGGGTGATAAACAGGTAGACCTGTAAAATAAATGGGTTGGCTTAAATCCAATTAAAGACGATGCAAACCCACTAAATATGGCACGAACCAGTCAATACACAATTACAGAAGGGCTATAGATATGGGCCGATAAAATTTTGACACGACACAATTTGGATGTGTCACAAGTCCGATACGACATGACCCATTGCCAACCCTAGTTATAGTTATGGCAATTGAAGCTAAGAACTACAATTAAGAGTTTTTGTACGACCATTTAAGTAGGAAATAACCTGGTAGTATCCATTATATGTCTAGTAGGCTTCTTTTGTCACTCCACTAGTGGCTTGGATTGGTCTTGCTTGCTATATTGATGGGGATCTAGGAAGCACGAATAAGGATGTGATACGAGTATAATACGATACAAATGGGACATGCTGGTGGAAACGCTTTGTGTTTCTTTCAAATTTTTCAAAACTTGTTGAGTACCTTTATAAATAAGAAAGCTATTTTTGTAATTTTAAAGATATATGGTTCAAAGTTATAACATAAAAAGAGTTATAATCTTTACATAAACATAGGACACCGGTTTAACCATAATTTCAGACACGATTACAAAATTATATACAAATGGAATAAATTTTTCATATAAAAGTAATTTGATAAAAAATAGGTTCATGAAATTGGGGCTCTTTAAAATTTGGGTTACGAGTGAGATTTTTTTTTAAATGGAAATTATGGTGGTCATTGATTATTGGATCATGGATGTTTATGATAAATATGTATCCCTATATCTGATTTTATTTTATTCGATGATACTATGATGTCATTTATTAGAATTAAGGAAATGATTATTTGAATGATTGTCATTACATTATATTTATTTTATTTTATATATATACACACACCCACACATCATATTTACTATGTTCCCAGCGTGTCCATTTGCTACTTTTTTTGTAAGTTTTGTGTTGGCATGTCCTTGTAGTGTCTTGTGTCCCTGTCTGTGCTTCTTAGTGTTTCATAGATGGAGTCAAATCCTACCAGTAGAAGATTTAGGATATAGGGAATATAAACCTTTAGAATTCGGGTGTTGTCACGACTTTTCTTGCTAATTGTAAGGTTTAAGCATTAGTGAGCGAAGACTAATTAAAAACTGACATAGATTAGAAGTCAGAGATGATAAGAAATTGGTCACCATTTTTTGTGGTAGAAGTCTAAATTCATTTTCATTATCTTCATTATTATTGTGTGTTTATTTGTTTTTTGTTTAGAGGACTAGTTTCTAAGCCACCCGTGGAATATCTTACAACTACATTGTGAGGGGGATTTGCTTCCTAGCCCGTATTTCTAGTCCCACAAAGGGTTGGTTTTTAAGTTACCGTTATTATATTGAAGAAGGAAATTGCAAGATTGTATACTTCGTCTCTGCTAAGATTGAACTCATCTTCATTCGAACGTGATTATTTTGCTTTTAAATTTTCATCTAAGAAGCATGGACATGGATACGACACGACATGGACACGCCGACATGTCATTTCTCAAAAAATAAGACACAGGCACGTTGGGGACATGCTACAAAAAATTGGATTTTATATATAACATTATATAATCTATTACAAATATAGTGATAATGATATACAATTCATAAAAGATTCAATATTTTATGATAACTAAATCTTATGTCTAGTCATCTGAGTGAATTTTTAGACTAAAGCATCCTTAAAATAGTCAATAATCATCAATTTTTTTTGTAGACAATGTATTCCTAATATATAATTTAATTAATTACTTTCATTTTTTCGATTCATCTTTTTTAAACTTTTATGCATCTTTTGTTCTTATTATTATATTTTGAGTACAACTTTAACATGTTTAGTGTTAGTAATTATATGTTCTCAAATTTTTAAGTTTTGTTAATCACATTGCAACACATGTTTATTGTTTAGTAGTAGATACGTTTTAAAGAAGTGTCAGACACGTCACCAAAGAAGTGTCGGACACGAGTCTGAAATTAAAATTTTATCATTTAATTATGGACACAGATAAAAGAGTATCTGACACATATCTGAGAGTGTCCGTGCTTCATAGATTTTCATAAAAGAGGATGTGAATAATGATAAGAAGTGAGTAGATCATATATTGTATGGTTTAGCATCTATCCTAGCTGATGGATGATCAAAATATTTATATATGTATCTGTGAGAACTGATATGGAGCATGCTATTGAGCAAAGAGATCAATCAAGAACAATCTGTGATATCCATTTACTGACTTGTGTTGAAGATAATGTGACATGACACAAGTGATATCCAATGGTTGCGAGTGAATTACACTGTAAACCTGCAGACTATATTTTTTTTTTCTTCTTGTTTTTTATCATTATTTTCATACATTCCTTTTTAGCATGTAGCATTGAAATTCCCCTTTAATTTGCCATCTGAAGATGCTGTACGTATATATTATGTCATTGGTGATTACTTGCACAGTTAAAACTAGATTCGACCATCTTTAATGCAGCTCGTGAGGCAAGTAACTGCATTCAGTGTCCATTTACCATGCGTATCCTTGACGACGATGATGTGCTTCTCAGTTCAATAAAACCAAGAGGTAATGTTTGAGAGTCCTCCTTGTTTTTCAGATCTTCATAGCATGTAGCAAGTTTGATGAAACTTAAGGTGGTGCAAATCTTCCATTAACAAAAAAGTGATAGCATTTTAACTTAATTATATATGTTATTGTACCATGTCCTATAATAACGAGTTACAGTTAGCTATTATTGGGCCTTTTTTATTAGTTTATCATCCTTATATTGGCCAGCTGTTATGTTATTAAAGAAAATCTCGAAGCGTGCCTTGGTGCATTTTGGGAGTATAGCTTGAAAGATTCTCTCATGTTGAGTCTCCCTGTTGCCTTTACAGCCCTCCAATCTGTGAACTTAGGATGTCTCATTCAAACTTCAATTTTTAATGATGTCAATAAAATATAATGCAATATATGTATGTTAAGATTACAGAATAGTCACTGAAGCACAAGTGTAAGCTTGTTAGAGGTATTCATTCATGAAATAAATAAATAAAAGGTGCAACAATTCTTTACCCGTAATCCAAAATAGAGGAGTATTATGTGAGTTACTTTGAGAAATAGTTGTTTGAAAAGAAACAAGGTCGAGTATCGGATCAGTCAGCATGTGATTGTTTCACATAACAACCTTGGTCTAAGAATAATATAATAGAAGAGACAAGCTAGCATGACATTTCCCTCAAAATTAGGATACACCGAGTTGGGCACACGTTGAATCGATTATATTTATCTATTTTCTGTTTGCTTGAGTAAGACCTACTACTAATTTTCAAACTGGGGAGGTGCAATGTTGATATCGCTGCTGGGGCATGGCTCATATGTATAGTGTTTTGTGTTATTCTTTTTTGTGAGGTCTTTCACATTTCTTCATTCCTTTTGTTAGTGTCTTCAGCTTGCTGACTTTTTTTGTTCTTTATATCTTTGTTTCTCTGTTATTTTTCCCGACTAGCTCTCATTATTAGTTTTGCTATTTAAGCTAGGCATCTGCATCCCAGCCACACTAAAAACCTCTCTGGCTCCTGCAAACTGGGTAGTGTGATGCAATCTGCATCACAGTCATACTACCTTATTAGGTGTATTGTTTTTTGGCTTGGTTTTATTGATTTTAAATCTATTTGCTGATTTTAAAGGGTTTTTTTGTTTTGCTTTTGGAATCCAGTTTCCATGTAATTCTCAATTTTTTTTATCTACATCTCATTCTTAGAAAGTTGATTAAGAGTTAAAATTATAATTTAGCAAAATTCAGTCAGGTGAACTGTGGACTGAGCTTTTGCTTACACCCCTTAGAAGCTAATTTTTCGAGTTGGCTGCGCTTGAGTTAATGTAAGACAACTTGAACTTGATAAAAATCAACTGAGCTGAGCCCAGGCCCTCCATTACTCAGCTTCGATTCTCTGTGGCCCTACCTCCTGTGTTACTTGGAAATAGTCTGGATACAAGCTTGTGCCCTAAGTGGTAGTTCGTAGTTCTTTGCTTCTACCTTATTCTTTTGGAACAGGAACCAAATNGCCCTCCATTACTCAGCTTCGATTCTCTGTGGCCTTACCTCCTGTGTTACTTGGAAATTGTCTGGATACAAGCTTGTGCCCTTAGTGGTAGTTCGTAGTTCTTTGCTTCTACCTTATTCTTTTGGAACAGGAACCAAATTCTAAATTTTCAGTAATTTTTGTCAATTATAGTCTACATGCCGGTTCAAGAATTTGAAACTTCAAAATTGGAAGAGAAAAAAAAGAAATAGAATGACAACTTAGTTATTTTTAAGAAACTTTCTGGATTACTGCGGGTTGAAACTTTGTTGAAAATATATTCTATTTCAGATCTGGAACCTCCTCGTGAAANGATTCAAGAATTTGAAACTTCAAAATTGGAACAGAGAAAAAAGAAATAGAATGACAACTTAGTTATTTTTAAGAAACTTTCTGGATTACTGCTGGTTGAAACTTTGTTGAAAATATATTCTATTTCAGATCTGGAACCTCCTCGTGAAAGGCCTCGGACATCAGTAGCAACTGCCCAACGGCTAATTGCTCAAGGAATGGGAATGAAGTTGCCATCAACAACATTCGGATCCAGAGAACTGAGGAAACAAGAAGAAGCCAGAAGAAACAGGATAGTTTCAAGGCAAAAAAAGAGGGATGATGCTTGGGGAGATGATACTAACTAGGATTCAGAACTGCATGATTTCATCGTAAATATGATTCAGATGGTCATGATTTCTTCGTACATGTTTGTTTCTTCATCACTAATTTATCTCTATTGTTTCCATAGTTGATGGCGTCGCATGCATGGTTTTCGGTTGTGTTTGCTGCATGAGCTTAGCCTCAAAATTATTTAGTGTGTTACAATAGGGAAAAATTGATTTGGTTGACAAGATTGTACACAAAACATTGTACTTGCACAGATCTCTTTGTTGGGTACTTCACAATGGTATTTACATATTAAATGAGTGGCTTTTTGAGTTGGATCTTTGGAAAGACTGATAGTAGCCATGTCTAATTAGCTGGGGTCTGAATTATAGGTGTTGCCCAAGGTTATGTATCACTGACTAAGATTTTTTATCATATTTTTCATCTCAAGTAACGTGGCACAGTTTTCACCATCAAATAAGTGGGTCCCATTAATATTCAATGATGAAAAGTGTATCATATCATTTAAGATGAAATACTTGGTAAATATAATATTACTCGTTATGTAGGTTACACCCAATCTATAAAGTACATAGTGTTTAGAGTATGAAAAATCAAGAGAGCAGTATGACCATTGTCCACAGGTAACGAGTTTCATAACTTCAAGGCTCTCTCTTGAGAGAATGCAACAAAACCTTTGAGCTTATTTTAGTACAAACCACGTCTTCACCCGTGCGATGCACAAGATTTGTAAACAACAACATATTATTTTGATCCTTCCTCTCTTTTGCTCCTATCACTAGAGAAGTTAGATAAAAATTTATTGGAAGTTATTGGGTAGTAAAAGTAATTTTTAGATAAAATTGAACAGGTGGTGGGTGGTGGGTGCAGGAGGAGATAGGTAGTTATAAGTGAGATTTATCATCAAAAACTTCGAGGGTACTGTGTTGAGGCCATAACACGGGTTGGTCCATGACACAGTTGCAATAATGTCTATTTTGAGTCAAGTCAAATAACTTCATTAACTCTTGTTGTTTAAGTCGACAAAGCTGGCCCACACCAAGACAACTTTGGTGTAAACGGTTTGGGCAAAAGCCTTAGCCGACTTACACTTTGTGGATATATTCATGTGTATCATATGGTTATCTTTTACTGTCTGAAAGTTTGAAAATGTAAGCAGCAAAGTTGCATGGTTTTAATGAGTGATGAGAATATAGGGAGCAAGCAAACTCTACAAGTAACTATCTCATTCATTTAAAATAATAAATACATGTGTTAAAAAAAATAAAATTCACATGTCTATTTGTTAGTTTTTTTATCAAATGATGATATCACGTGATAATGACGACAACGAAGAGGTATCACCATGAATGGGTCGGCCCGCTAGCTCTAATTGACTCGCCAATAATGACCCACCAAAAAGGAGTTGTCTATGGTACCCATTTTTTTTTTTTTTTTTTNTGTGTGATGAGAATATAGGGAGCAAGCAAACTCTACAAGTAACTATCTCATTCATTTAAAATAATAAATACATGTATTAAAAAAAATAAAATTCACATGTCTATTTGTTAGTTTTTTTATCAAATGATGATATCACATGATGACGACGACGACGCAGAGGTATCACCATGAATGGGTCGGCCCGCTAGCTCTAATTGACTCGCCAATAATGACCCACCAAAAAAGAGTTGTCTATGGTACCCATTTTTTTTTTCTTTGAATCATACCCAATTGATTACCTTTGTAGTTGTTTTTATTACTGTGTTAGTATCCAAAAAAGTGGTAAAATCAACCACAACAATGGTAAAAGTGACCACAAATGCAATAAAAACAACCATATAATAGTAGTAAAAACACTAGCAAAAGTGGTAAATCATCTACAAAAATGATAAATATTTTATTATAAAATGACCTATAAAAATATTAATTGAAGTAATAAATCTTGAAGGCACGATACCGAATTTTTTTTTGTCGGTACCCTTGTCATTGCCCACCAAAAAGTATGAAACGTGTTTACTACTCCAAACACATTTGAAGGTAGGAATACAAGAAATCCACTGTTGGCCTTCAGGACAATGTCTAAAGTAAATGCTTTTAGACATCATTATCTTCCCATGACAATATAAGGTTTTCATTTCATCTATTCCGATTCTTCAATTAAAATATTCCATTGGTAAATCAGAAAAGCCTGCTATTTTTTTTTCGCAGTTTAGTTAGATTTGTCCCTACCTATTTCTATTATAACTATTATGTATTTACACTTCTTATATTTACTCTGATTTCTTCAACCTATTTGACTTTATGGCCGCAGTTATTTAAATGGTATCTGAGATCTAATTTTCAATACAGTTGTTGAATTAGTTATTAGTTTTAATATTAGACGGAACCCACTTTTAAACTAATGATAACATTGAATTAGATTTCCAGATTAAGTTCTCAAATGAACAAAACTTGATTGATTGAATATTGGCCTCCACAATATAGTTTGATCCATAAACAGGCCTAACTAATGTCCATTAAGCGTGTAATGCAGGGCCCGGAGCCACTTGTGGCGAAGGGTAAAGTTTTTCAAAAATATCTTTTTATTTCTTTTAATTTTCTTTAAAAAAAATTGATACCTCCGCTTGGATTTTCAAAAATACTTATATAAAGTATATTTTATATATTGTATTCAAAAAGTTTAATGTCGATATTTAATAACCAAATTGGGGTTATTTTAATCTTTTAAATGAGTGTTGCTTTTATTGGCAAAGACAAATGTTGGGATGTGGTTGATGACAACACTATAGAATAACATTCCTGATTGTGTTACTATTTGGCCTTTTATACGATAAAGAGAAGTACTATCTAATTCAAATTTACAATCTAAATTTGTATCCCAAATGAACGAAAATTATTGGATGAGTGGATCTCATCAATTATTTTAAATGGAACCATTGATCCAATAGTTCTTCTTCATTTGAGATACAAATTTGAATTGTAAATTTAGATTACATAGCATTGCTTTACAATAAAATCCTAACTCCATTCCTGGTGTCATAACTCACGACTTTTTTTATGTTTGGCCTTATATATATATTAGGGGTAACCTGTATTTGAATGCACGATGTAACATAAATCAACCAATTAATTTAAAAAAGTGATGCATGAAGATCCCTGAGAACAGTGGCAGAGCTAAATATATGATTTAGGGTAGACACACTTTAAGTATAATAGATAAAAATAGTGTGATATATNGGAAATTATTGGATGAGTGAATCTCATCAATTTTTTTAAATGAGAACCATTGATCCAATAGTTCTTATTGATTTGAGATACAAATTTGAATTGTAAATTTAGATTACATAGCATTGCGCTACAATAAAATCCTAACTCCATTCCTGGTGTCATAACTCACGACTTCTTTTATGTTTGGCCTTATATATATATATTAGGGGTAACTTGTATCTGAATGCACGGTGTAACATAAATCAACCAATTAATTTGAAAAAGTGATGAATGAAGATTCCTGAGAACAGTGGCAGAGCTAAATATATGATTTAGGATAGACACACTTTAAGTATAATAGATAAAAATAGTATGATATATTTATATTTTTTATATTAGATTTGTAACTTAAAAATTCATTAAACATAAAAAAGGTCTATTTGAAAAAAATTAATAAGATAACATCTATACATTAAGGATCAATAATATAATTTATTTGATACAAATAAAATCAATATATTCTATATTTTACTCATATTTGGCTATATATTCTATAATTTTTGAATCAAATGAGATTTCAACAAATCATATCAATACTCTGAGAAATCAATTTTAGTTTGTTAATTTTAAGAAATTGGTATTGACCTTTTGTTTTTGTTTTTGTTTTTTTGTTATAGTACCCAACTTGTTTGATCCAATGAATTTTGTTTTTCATAAATCATTAACCCAATTAATCTAAAAAAATATATAAAACATATATAATTAAAAAAATATTTTTTTCAGGGTGACCTTAGGCCTCCCCTCCCTCCGCCACTGCCAGAGAGTGAAAAGTGAGAAGAGTAAGGTAAAATTCAACATAAATGATATTGAGAGAGATGTTGATGGTCATTTGATGAATTTATTTGAGATCATCAGATAGACTTTTTGAACCCACCTTGTTTTATATTATAAAATCCACAAAATATAATAGAATTGACTTAAAAAAATATTAATTTATATAAATGTAATCAAAATCAAATATTAATTTATATAAATATAATTAAAATCGAGTCAAATTTAATACAAACTAAAAATCTAATTTATCAAAAAACATATCGCCAAAATATTTTCAATCAAAAAAAGATCTACAAATATTATTTATAAAATATTATTATTTTTAATTAGTACAAGTTATTACAAAATTATTAATTTATCAAAATATATTAGCGTTGGGTTTTCTTAAGAGATAAAAAAAATAGTCTTAAATTTTTGACTCAAGACATGTGTAAGGCATGTTAATTTGAGATAATTAATTAAATAAATAAATATAAAATTAAAATTAATTATATTCAATATAAATGTGTTAAGCAACGCCCTTGTTTTTGTTTTATCTTAAATTGATGAGTTTTTTTTAATCAAAATGTTATCATTGTGTCTTATACAAATTCAAAATATTTCACTACACAAAAGATATTAATGGCTAATTTGACCCATTTAATTATTATGTCAGATAAAATCATGTATTATAAGATCAGTTGTAATCATTGACCGGTTAAGAGGAAAAATATTAAGAAAAAAAATGTTAATTTATTGACCATTGGATGAATAAATTTGAGACCGTAAGATATTTTCCAAATTCAGCCGTAATCGTTAACTTATTGGTGGAAAAAATATTGAGAAAATTGTAATTTCTTGACTGTTTGATAAATGAATTTCTTGGTATTTAAATATCTAGCAAACCCAAAAGTCCACAGAGAAGATTATCAAATGAGATCAAATTATCATAGGAGTATTCTTTTCCTTGTTATAGTTTTGATTATTAGTAGCATAATAAGTAACTCTGGATGTAGAAGTCCCCATAAATTTCTGGATTTTTAACTTGATTAGCATTAATTTTGGGTGAACCCACCCTAAATAAAATGCTGAGTTTTACTTCATGCTCATATACTTTTTTTTTTTTATATGCAACAATTATTAATCACTATTACGAATTTCATATATCCCTATTATAATTTAGTCTGAATAAATCACAAGTCCGTCCGAAAATTAGAATAAAACTCCCAAAGAGAGGAATAAGAAAGAGTAGAATACAATTCTACAAAATAGAGACATATAAGGTTTGGGACTTAGGTGTATCAAGACTAAGCCAATTTGACTAAAATACGATGATTCATCTGAGCCAACCAACCAATGCCGTAACTCCTTGAGATAGAATAGAAGAAATCAATAATGTAAGGTATTATCATATATATATATATATATATAGAGAGAGAGAGAGAGAGAGAGAGAGAGAGAGAGTATTTTGCATTTAAAACAGGAAAGCAGCCTTGGATGAGCTCATATTGCAGCTCTTACAGTTTAAATTCACACAATTAATTACAAAGTTGAAAGTCAATAGATGAATAGGTCGTCCATATATACGTATTTTCCTTGTAAGCCCAAGTCGTAAGCCAATGCAATGAATTAAAGCTCCCGCCCGCACCCTTTGCCAGATTCTCTTTTCAACAACAACAAAACATTTCAAAATTAAGCAACTCACTGTATACTTTTCTCTCCCGCTCCATAGACTCATCCTTGCCAAGTGGTAATTGGGCAACGGTCAATCCATTGTGATCTGTATGTTTTGACAAATTATATTTTTGTCCCTCAACTATAATTTGTTACGTAATCTTTTAATTATATCAATTTTTAGTTCCCAAAATTTTGGTTTTGTGCATGTTTAAATGGTCTAATTGTAAATGTCCATTAGGAAACACTACAGAAATTGCCACGTGCACATCACTTGACCACTTCAGTGTTTGGACAACTAAAGGGATAGTTCAAGTTGTAATAAGAATGAATTGTAAACTTAGAAATTTTAAGTATGAATCTTGGCAATGTCTTTGGGTCAGGCTATGAGAGATTTATCTCTNGGAAAGCAGCCTTGGATGAGCTCATATTGCAGCTCTTACAGTTTAAATTCACACAATTAATTACAAAGTTGAAAGTCAATAGATGAATAGGTCGTCCATATATACGTATTTTCCTTGTAAGCCCAAGTCGTAAGCCAATGCAATGAATTAAAGCTCCCGCCCGCACCCTTTGCCAGATTCTCTTTTCAACAACGACAAAACATTTCAAAATTAAGCAACTCACTGTATACTTTTCTCTCTCTCTCCATAGACTCATCCTTGCCAAGTGGTAATTGGACAACAGTCAATCCATTGTGATCTGTATGTTTTGACAAATTATATTTTTGTCCCTCAACTATAATTTGTTACGTAATCTTTTAATTATATCAATTTTTAGTTCCCAAAATTTTGGTTTTGTGCATGTTTAAATGGTCTAATTGTAAATGTCCATTAGGAAACACTACAGAAATTGCCACGTGCACATCACTTGACCACTTCAGTGTTTGGACAACTAAAGGGATAGTTCAAGTTGTAATAAGAATGAATTGTAAACTCAGAAATTTTAAGTATGAATCTTGGCAATGTCTTTGGGTCAGGCTATGAGAGATTTATCTCTCATGAATAATTTAGTTTTGACGTAAATGGTCTGTTTTTGACAGAATTAGGGAGGAGATTAGTCGAGTTACACGTAAATTAATTCGAACACTCCTGACTGTTGAACAAAAAAACCGTCTTTACACAATTTGAATGTGTGAGATAGACGTGGCCACTTCTGTCACGTTTTCTGAAATTCCATTTGTGATTACACTATTAAACATAAGATTAAAGCTTTGGGAATCAAAGGGGGCACAAGTGAAAAATTGGGGACCAATATGACACCAAGAACATAATATGGTGACCAAAAAGTATATTTAGCCCTATAATGTTTTGTTTTGTCGTGGATTGACCGTCGAATCAGCAATGAGAAACAATTGACTGGTAAACGCAGATGTTGAATTCTAAGATCTAGAATTTTCACATATTATCTGTTTGCATTCCATTCAAACCCATGCAAGCCGCTTTTTCTTACCCCCCCCCCCCNATCACTTGACCACTTCAGTGTTTGGACAACTAAAGGGATAGTTCAAGTTGTAATAAGAATGAATTGTAAACTCAGAAATTTTAAGTATGAATCTTGGCAATGTCTTTGGGTCAGGCTATGAGAGATTTATCTCTTATGAATAATTTAGTTTTGGCGTAAATGGTCTGTTTTTGACCGAATTAGGGAGGAAATTAGTTGAGTTGCACGTAAATTAATTCAGACGCTCCTAACTGTTGAACAAAAAAAACCGTCTTTACACAATTTGAATATGTGAGATAGAAGTGGCCACTTCTGTCACGTTTTCTGAAATTCCATTTGTGATTACACTATTTAAACATAAGATTAAAGCTTTGGGAATCAAAGGGGGCACAAGTGAAAAATTGGGGACCAATATGACACCAAGAACATAATATGGTGACCAAAAAGTATATTTAGCCCTATAATGTTTTGTTTTGTCGTGGATTGACCGTCGAATCAGCAATGAGAAACAATTGACTGGTAAACGCAGATGTTGAATTCTAAGATCTAGAATTTTCACATATTATCTGTTTGCATTCCATTCAAACCCATGCAAGCCGCTTTTTCTTACCCCCCCCCCCCCCCCTCTCTCTCTCTCTCTCTATCTCTCTCTCTCTCTGTGGGTGGGTGTGGGCGTGTGTTGTGTATAGGTCTCATTCTGCAGTATGATTGGGTGGGGATGTTTGGCTAGTGGTTGTTGAGACTATCTCTCTCCCTCTCTAGATTGGCAGATTCTATATAGTTCTGTTGAAGTTGAAGTACTTTTAGGTTCAAACTTCTCACACTGGCTACAAGTTCTACATATCTATATATATAGTTGTGCTAGGTACATTATTTTTAGGTTCAACTTGTGATTTTATATAAACATGGATGAAATTGAGATACCCCAATATTTCATCTGTCCTATATCACTCCAGATAATGAAAGACCCCGTCACGGCGGTTACCGGAATCACCTACGACCGGGAAAGCATAGAGCATTGGCTGTCGACGGCGGAGGACGTGACATGCCCCTACACAAAGCAGCCATTGCCTAGAGACTCGGAATTGACACCAAACCACATGCTTCGAAGGCTAATCCAAGCATGGTGCATTGAAAATGCTAAGAACGGAATCGATCCAATCCCCACTCCAAAATCTCCTCTCAACAAGTCTGTTGTTCTTAAACTCCTTCGTGAGCTTAATGCTCCTCAAGTTCACGTAAGCACTTTGAAGAAAATCGATGCAATCGTGAACGAGAACGAAAAGAACAGGAAGTTCATGGAGGAAACAAGTGGTGCAACCAAAGCAATGGTTTTGTTCTTCATAAAATGTTTTAAGGAAGGAAGAACTGAGGGTCTCGAGGAAGCTCTGAGGATTCTCCATCTTATCTGGAGTCCAACGAACGATAATAAACAGATCGTGAAAGAAAACTTCGATCTTGTTCAATCCATTATATGGATTTTACAGACTGACATGGATAATCATGTTACAGTGAAAATCCATGCAGTGGCCGTCTTGAAAATGGTTGTTGAATATGCAAGTTCGTGCCTGTTAGAGCGATTAAAGCCCGATTTCTTCAAAGAAACTGTAAAGATTTTGCAAGAAAACATCTCTCAACAGGCAGTTAAATCCGTCTTGCAAGTACTAAACGAGGTATGCCCATGGGGAAGAAACAGAATCAAAATTGTAGAAGCGGGCGCAGTATTTGAGCTCGTGGAGATGGAATTACAAAAACCCGACAAGAATATCACCGAGTTGATCTTCTGCCTGTTGGCTCACTTATGTTCTTGTGCTGATGGGAGAGCACAACTTCTTAATCATGCTGGTGGTATTGCAATGTTGGCCAAGAGGACTCTAAGGGTGTCTCCAGCCACGGATGATAGGGCAATCCACATACTCGCATTGATCGCGAAATTCTCAGCGACACAAGAGGTTCTTTCGGAGATGTTGAGGGTGGGAGGAGTGGCAAAGCTTTGCATGGTGATTCAAGCAGACTGTGCTGCTTATTTGAAGAAGAAAGCAAGAGAGGTACTCAGGTTGCACTCTAAGGTGTGGAGCAACTCTCCTTGTATAGATGTCTATCTCTTAACAAGGTACCCTAGATAGAAATAAAGATGTTTATTTCTATATAAAAATTTCCATTCATTTCTGTTGTGGTTTATGATGTTTAAATTGATACTGTAATATGTTCTCTTGGGGCAGTAAATGATTATACAGAGCTTCTTAGAGTACATGATCATTACATACGTTTGTTTTTGGCACAATGTAAATTCAATTCAAATTGACAGGTAATGTAAGAAGGTATTAAAACTTCTGATTGATGATATTTCTAGATTTTAATTCACTTTGCACTTCTTTAATGGGCCACCTATAAGTTTATTTAAATCTAAGGGCATATTCAAAACTTCCTGTGGTTTGGTTAAGGGTAGTTACAGCCTTTCGTTAGAAATTGTAATGCTTATTATTTGGAGCTCATGACAGTCCTTAAAGGAATTGAGATAGCGGCGACTTTTGAGTGGAATTAAATTCGGATTGAATGTGACTAGCACATTATTTCTCGTGGATTTTCCTCTAGATGTTTATTATTTCCGTGGGAGTTAATTCTAATGAGCCCGAATTTTACAGGGCCAAAGCCCAATTCAAATAAATTGAAGAAGCCCAAAAAAGAGTCCATTGAAGTTGAATCGACCCATAAAAAGAAGTCCAAAGCACAAGAAAGAGCTAATGCTCAATGGAGCCAAAAGGACAGCACTAGGNTAATGAGCCCGAATTTTACAGGGCCAAAGCCCAATTCAAATAAATTGAAGAAGCCAAAAAAAGAGTCTATTGAAGTTGAATCGACCCATAAAAAGTAGTCCAAAGCACAAGAAAGAGCTAATGCTCAATGGAGCCAAAAGGACAGCACTAGGACCAAGGGGGCGCCGCCCATGGGCAGCCGCTTGGGCTCTCCTCCGTTCTCCCCTTCGTCATTTTCTGTTGTCTTCTTCTCGGTCCACCTTAGTACCATGGGAATGACTCCGATGCCAGTTCAAATGATCGTAGTTCACTCTAGGGTCAAGTTCAAGATCAAGATCAATCCAGTATCCCTCTTCGATTAAATAGGAGCACGAGGGAAAGAATCTNCTTCTTCTCGGTCCACCTTAGTACCATGAAAATGACTCCAATGCTAGTTCAAATGATCGTAGTTCACTCTAGGGTCAAGTTCAAGATCAAGATCAATCCAGTATCCCTCTTCGATTAAATAGGAGCACGAGGGAAAGAATCTCGGGATGGAGATTGAGTCCTACTAAAATGGAACTTACAAAAATGATATAGACCTCCTTTATCACGTCACCGTCTTACCCTAGTTATATAATGTACGCCCTCTCAACATTGAGACAACTCTTCTAACACCTCTAAAGCCTCTGCCCATCTCCTCACACACACTACTCTCTCCCTCTCTCTCCAAAGCACTGTAATACACCGGAGTTACTTTTCCGCCTACATTATTCATCAATAAAACACCCTAGGCCACCGTTGTCGTTTTTAAGAGTGAAGTAGGTCACCCGCACCGAACCACTATAAATTTATGTGTCTATCTTATTTACTGCTTTAACCCTTAATTGACATTGATTGCTTGTTAACCACATATTAATTACACCCTTATATGTTCTTGATTGTTGATCTTGCGTGAGACTAATTTGTGCATCATCAAATTCATTTATGGAGGGTTTTGATGGGACTTTTCTGAAATATTCCATGATGAAGACACGTGTCCTCGGTATTTACCAAAACACTGTTGCTAAGATCAAGCACCATCGGCGCATAAAGGTCCTCGCCCCCGAGGTACTCGTCATATAGGATCATGCATTCAGTATGAGTTACAACCAACACGTAGCCTCAGTCTGATATGGTACCTCGGTCGGTATACCTCCCTCAGTTCCGAGATGAGCCTTTCCTCGGTGCCTAGAGGTACCCCGTCCTGGACGCTTCCTCTACTCCAGAATAAGCTATTGACGTACAGGTCATTAGCCTAGGCTAGTCTAGGCTATTCATCATGACCTCGTCTTACACAATTAGTGTCAGAACGTACTGGAATGCAGGGGCCACAGCCAATGGGGGATTGACGCGTGGCATACGATATCACATCAAGAATAGAAAAGCCGCATGCCGTTGCTGACACGCGACTTGGGAAAGCAAACTATTAATTACACCATTCCCTTGATGAGACCGCATTCAATGCGGTAAGGCTCGGAAATGAAAGGCAATAAATGCTCCTAATACAGAGCATTTATTGCATCCTCCCCGAGAGGAGTACATTGTACCGTCGGCATCCCGATGACCCAGCATTGATTGCTCGGGACCCCGAGCAGTTAAGAAGAGAAGACATTCCTCATCAGAATCAGTGCGCACACTGCCTGTACCTAATGATCACCTACTGACTACACTGACAGCAATCATGAGCTTTTGAGGTATAAATACTCCTTGCAAAAGGCAAGACGGGTATGCAACAAAAAACTCTTTACTACAATACACACTCAGTGTTTTCTTCTTCCTCTCTCTCTCTCTCAAAGACTGACTAGATCGTCGGAGGGGATACGCCGGAAAACACTCCGGCGCCCTTCTAACTTGTTCTTCTTTGTTCCAGGAACCTCTTTCAGCCTTACTGGATCGTTCTTCCGCTCCCCCAGGGTCTCCCGTTGCCGTTCCAGGTTACCACCGGACCTCGCAGGCTGTTCCAAGCAGCGTGGTTGGTCACTCAACTGGCTCACTCGAGTTCACCAAGGGAGAGATCTGTTCTCGTTTTTTATATTGTGCAGGATCTTGCACGCACAATCTGGCGCCGTCTGTGGGAAACGACTAGTTTTCCTAGTTTTTTCTCTATAAAGAACAGTGACCATGGTGAACACTCGACAGAAAGGGAAAGGCCCCCACCAAAGGAGTCTCGAGTTACAAGCTCCCTGTCATCACGGAGGGAGGGATCACACCAATACGAATAAAAGTGCCTCTACTCGGTCAAGAGGGGTTACCCCTCAAACCAGTATGGGAATCAGGTCAGGGGGATCAGCCCCCTTGGCTCGTCAGCTGGCGGAGGTGATTGAAGAAAAGTTTGGCGATAGATTACGACAGCTGGAAAAGGACAATGTAAACGTCCTAAGCCGGCTCAACGAGTTTGCCGCCTCTGGCGAAGGATCGAGGGATTCATTCCTTTCTCGTGGGCTTCCCGCCCGGGAGGCGGAAACGAAGGATCTAAGAAACCACCTAAACAACAAAGCAGAAAGCTCTAGGGCCCCAAAGCGACCCAGAGCCGGCGAGCATCATCATGACAACCATTCAAGGAAAGCAAGGCCATTGGCCCTGGACGACCTCCGGCGAGGTTTGTCTAGACGGAGGAAGGGAGATGAATCCGAGGAGGACTCAACCCAATCCACACGACGCCCAGGAAATGAGGGGCTTACCGATGAACTCAAGGACTTCAGAAGGCATCCCGTCAGGGAAGAAATTGATCTCAGAGCCCGGTTAGACTCCAGGAGAAAGGGTAAGGCTGTCCAGGATGAGGCCGAGGACGAAGTCATACAAACACCCTTTACGAGGGAGATCGGTGAGATGGAGGTTTCAAGAAAGTTTGTCGTGCCGCGGTTCAAAACTTATGACGGGCGGTCCGATCCCGAAGCCCATGTCAGGCAATACAAGCAGATGATGTCCCTCTATCATTCGGACCAACGGTTTCTCTGCCGAGTGTTTCCTATGAGCTTGGGGGACTCTGCGATGAAGTGGTTCGAGGCGCTTCCCCCCAACAGTATTGGGTCATGGAAGGAATTGACGAAGCAGTTCCTGGCTCGATTCATTACGGGGAGTAAGCGCCCCAAAGACATTGGATCATTGCTGACCCTCAGACGGAGGGAATCCGAGACTCTTCGCCAGTACGCCATCCGATACTGGGAAGAGGTTAATGAGGTAGAAGGCTGCTCGGAGGTCATGGCAGCAGCATCTTTTCGGCTCGGCTTGGCAAGGGACACGGACCTGTACCGATCCCTGACCAAGAAGACTCCCTCGGATATGGGGGAACTAATGGCCCGGATAAACAAATACTCGAGGGTTGAGGACGAGATGGGAAGCAGCAAAGGCCGAGCCCTCCAATCTAAGAGAAAAGAGAAGGAGCGGGAAGATATTCCCCGAAAGGGATTGCTACCCTATCCAGGAGGTCCGTCCAAAGGAATTCACACTGTGTTCAAGGAACCCATCTTCAAGCTGCTCCATAAAATCAAGCACGAGCCGTTCTTCAAATGGCCGCCCAAGATGCAGAGCGACCCCTCCACCCGTGATCAAAAAGTTAGGTGTTCCTATCACCGAGATTTCAGGCATCGCACCGAAAGCTGCAGGGTATTCAAATCGTTCTTGGAAAAATTGGTTTGAGACGGATATTTGAAAGAGTACATAGAGCCCAAGCCAGAAGAGAGACAAGCCCTTGCCCCGACCGAGGAGCCGGACAACATCATAGATGTCATCCATATATGTACCCTGGATCGCCCTACATCCAAGGAACTCAAGTCCGACCTCAAGAGGGTAGCTTTTACGAGGAAGGTAGCCGAGGTTGATGTNAAGAACTCGAGTCCGACCTCAAGAGGGTAGCTTTTACGAGGAAGGTAGCCGAGGTTGATGTAGGGCCACCTAGTAAAAGGGCCAGGATGGGTGAGCTTGACATTACATTCTCCGACGCGGATTTGACTGGCGTAGTGACTCCTCATAACGACGCCCTTGTCTTGACCCTAAGTATAGGAAAATTCGACGTCAAAAGGGTTTTGATAGACTCTGGAAGTTCCTCGGAAGTGATGTACTCCGAAACTTTAAAACGGATGGGTTTTGGCCTCAAAGACCTCATCAAAGTCAGGACACCCCTCATCGGATTCAACAGCTCGTTCGCCCTGCCCGTGGGAAAAATCACATTGCCAGTTGTCTTAAGTCCCTTTGTCATCGACACCGAGTTTGTCGTGATCGATACTAACTCTCCCTACAACGTGATTATGGGGCGAACATGGCTGCATGCGTTGGGAGCGGTGCACTCCACTTTCCACCAGAAATTAAAATTCGCCACGCCAGAGGGTATCATGGAGATCCGGGGGGAC